AAGACGCGGCGACGTAACTCGAGCCTCTTGTCGGCGCTCTTACGTCGATCGGGGTGGGTCAGGGTCCTGGAGATGGACGGGAAAAAAAGTGGACCGGCGGAAAGGGGGACCGGAAGTCGCGGGAGGTGCAAAGTGTTGGACTCTTTGGTCTCGACGACGTGTCGCGGGGTGTAGGGGGTGTTCGCGGGGGTCTATGGGAGCAGCCCTAGCGCAGAATAGGCCAATACACAACAATCTGTGTGCGCACAATCAGACAGAGCCAGACACACGTGATCGGGTGACGTCGATAGGTACCTATTAACGGCACTGCGTCCGAGGTCGTCGGCATGCTCTCGGCTACGAGGTTCAGGAAGACCGTCAGCGACAAGAGAATGGTCACTCCTAAGGCAGGCGAACAGGTCGCGGTCATTTTACGAGCACCTGGCACGGAAAGCTCCACCGGAAGCGACCTCGGGGTCCGGTCTACCGCACTCGCGACCAGACCTCGGAGATGCTTTCCGGGACACTTTCGGGATTGCGCCGGCGAGGTGGCCCGCTGATGGCGACCGTAGAGCGACGCGGCAATTTTTCAGAGATTAAAAAGGAAAGGGAACATATCCCAGCCCGTAAGGGTCAGCTGTACCCCGAGAGTATCGCTCCCTCGAAGGAGATGCTCCCTTTGGTCCCCATAAGCCGACCACCATGACCACACGGGGCCGATCTCGAAGCGGACGGTGGTTCGTGCCACGGGGACGTTAAAGTCGATATCGATGTTATCACGGAAATTTCGGCAAGTTATCGTAGAGGACGTTTTCCTCGAGTTTCCCGGAACGATGGCCTTCGTTGCGAGGAATAATCGATGGAGCACCGTTAGAAGGTGACGCGCCTCGCGCAGGATCGTCGAGGGACTCGGGCAGAAATTAACGCATACGGGGAATCGACGGACGTGGAGATAATCCGCGATTAATTAATATTCCAGTCCGGTTTGGCGCGCGAGGGAGAGACGGGATTCCAGGCGGAAACGCGGCCGGCGAAAACGTTGGCTCGCGCCAGCCCGTGAGAAATTCGGGGACGCGGTCCCGCGAATGCGGATTGCACCCGACTGGCGGAGGTGCAGCGGGGTGCAGCGAATGGCCCGCTCGCCGGTAATTGGGCCGCAACAGATGTTCGTCGCCCTTCCGCCCATCCGCTCCCGATGCGGAGAGACCGCGCCTTAAATACCGCGCGGAGTGGAGTCGAGGTCTCTTTTTCGGCCCCCGATATTCGCAAACTCGATACCACCGACGAAGATAACATCGACGCGCGAGGCGGAAAATAAACCCAGAGAGAAAACAAACCGCACGATACGGAAAAAACTCGGTCCCTTTGCGAACGATCCGAGGAAAATGTTTTCTCGCACTCGAGCGCGCATTCTCCCGCCCCGGCTTTATTCACCGGGGCGGAATAATCGCGCGAGCCTAATTCCCCGCTCGCGGATCCGCGGCTTGCCGAGCCAACTCCGTCGAGATTTCTGATCCCCCAAAACCGCGTCTCCCTCCTGTTCTCTAAATCGTCTTCCTCGCGATCACGAGGAGATGGAAATTTTCCGGAGGTTCGACTAATAGCGAGTCGATTCTCGCCACGTGGAGGAGGGCCTCGAGGGAGGTTCTAATCTGGCGAAATCTCGGTTTCGATCGATCGCAGGTCAATCGACACCATCGACGGTCAATCGCGGCCCGCCAAACGCGACCCTCCGGGCATTCCGCGAGTCCCTCGCCGCGAAACTTACGAGCCGTTTAATCGAGGAATCACGGCAAAGGGCGAGCCTCGCAAAGCCCTCCGGTAGCGGCCTTTCTCATGCTAATGTCCAATTAGGGGTGAGTCGGAAGCTACCCCTTTCTCGACGGAGCAGCGCGATGCACCCTCGCACCGGGTGCATGGAGAAGATCCGTGAAATCGACGCGGAAAATCGTTGGTCTTCGTTTCGGGGGAGAATTTCGAGAAGACGAGGGCGAACCGCGGATCCAGACTCGAACCAGGGGCGAGCCCTTATCGAGCGAGCCCGATAAGCTGCGGCCTCTCCGCGACCTCCGCGAGGCGTTTCTCCCTCTCGAGGCGCGAATCTCCCAATCGCGAGGATTCCTCCCTCTCGTCGTTCTTTTCTCGCCCTCGCGAGCTCCCTTTCTGAATAAGTAAGCGCCGCGAGGACGCGAAAGAGAGGGAGATAGACGGAGTCTCGACCAAAGCCGGACGTCGGGTGGCGGGGCCCTCTGGGGGAGGGCTCGGGTAGTTCCCGGGGGGAGGCAGAAAAGTAGCAGGGGACGGTTCAAGCGTGCCGGGGCCGGGGAAGATGAAGAGCCGCCGGGACAAAGCCGGGAGGAAGAAAGAACGGAATCGACGAGCTCGGACGCGGCCCTCTCCTCCTCCTTCGGGCTCGACCTTTTTCGAGGAGAGGAGTCCCTCCTTCCGGTCGTTTCCAGGCCGCTCCGTGTCGCCCCGTGTGTACACACGGAGGCCGAATGTGGGCCGGCACTCGGCGTCGAGCTTTCGCAAAGACCCGAGAGTCGCTTCTTACCCCGAGCCGCTTCTCGCCCCGACTGCGCGAGGGGTTGGCTCTCCCCGAACTCGCTTAACGCGGATCGCGTTTCCGCTTCTTATCCCGGACTATCTCCCGGGAAGAAGCGCGACAGCGAGTCTTCGGGGACCTGGGGACTCGCCTCGGGAATTTCGCGGATTTTCGGGGCGAGAATTTGAAAGCGTGCGGGAGTGCATCGCGATGGGACGGTCAGGGGAATTTTTAATATCGGAATATTAGCGCGAACGAGACCATGGGTATGCCGGCGATTAAAAAGCGTCGGCCGTATTTTCCCACCTGGTCGCTTCCGGAATTACGCTCGTAACTGGACCCTGGAGGCGCGAACTCTCGTTATGACGTCTCACCTGGAGCCAGCGAACGAAGGATGCCCCGGGGCGAGAAAAAAATGACGAGCACCCAGGATCGTGAAAAGATCTCATGAAATTTCATGGATTGCCGAAACTGTGCCGGAGCCAGTTCCCGACCAAACCGCGCCGGGTAGATCCTCGTTTGCATCTCGTTAATGGAAAATCTGCGTACCTCACGGGAATTCGAAAGATTCGGGGAACGAGTCTTTCCTTGGGACTTCACCTTCTAGCTCTTGCACGGCTAGCCGAACCATACATTATTCCCTGTTGCGCGTGCGGCGCTGCGCGGTGCATATTTTATGATTTAATTAGCTGAGTGCATCTGAATTGAAAAGAGGAACGGCGGGAAAAAAGGGGGCTCGTTTCCTGGGAGCAAACACGGCTATGGCGCGTATGCGAGACCGCTTAAAACAATTGGTTTAAGCGCGCCCTCGCGCGAGAATTCCATAAGCCGACTTTTTCCTGGAGGTGTGAGGAACCCTTTTAAATTCCCGCGCAACGAAGGCCATCGAGAGAAATCGGGGGTTCCCCGTGATCCATGGGGGACAGGAGCGACCACGATTTTTTCCCCGGTCAAAATCTTTGGAATTCGATCAAGGCTCCTCGGTAGTTTGTACCCTCGCGTCGAGAGGCACTTTTCCGGCCGACCCTAACGGGTGGAGCTGCCGAGGGTGAACTGCCGTGGGTGGAACTTCCGAAAGGGTGGTGCGTCCTTTCGATCCTTCCCAGGATCCTTGCCGACTCTGGTCGGGATAGGCTGAATTATTGAACCGACCGTGGCACGGTGATCCGAACGTTTAGCGGGACGCGAGGCCCTGTGTGGTCCCGGGAGATGCCGATTCTCCTCGGGCAAGTTCAAATTCAAATCCCAGTCAGGATCCAAATTCAGATCACGCGTCATCCCTCCGTCCGAGGGGAGGAGCCGCGCCAGGCTGATCGCGGATTCGCGATCGGCATTTCCAAAATGCCCTCCGACTCTCACTTCGATATTAACGCGCGAAATCGCGACCACGTATGAAGTTTCGCGACAATTGTTGTCAAAACGCAGGCAGGAATTGCGCATCCCCGACGACGACGTCCGCTCGACGACGATCGACGACGAACCGACGTCCTGAAAGGACAGCCTCCCAAATCGGTCTAGCACGTCTCCCCTTGAAACTAGTTTAGAACTCCCGACTTTGTGCCGCCCCGGTGACAGGAATTTCGGCTCCTCCAAGTTTTGGGATTATCATTAGCGATTCTCTCTGGCAACCACTTTGTCGGGCCGGCGTTTGTATCCCCGGCGATTTGGTCCTTTGAACCGACGACCCCCGTTTCCAAGCTACCCACCACGATGGGAAACTCGGCGACCGTCGTGCACTTTCCATACCCCATGTCCGACCTCCGAAACCGAGAACAAATCCCCTCCTCGTGGTTAAACGCGGGCTGGAATCTTCCCATCGAAAAAAGGCGAAAGCCTCTGCCGCGATGCAGCCCCGCGTTCCCGGGAACGGTAATCCGAAAAACAAGGAAATCTCGGATAAACGAGATTACCGCGCTCGCGGTGCACCGCGTGCCCGCGTGCACTCCACGGGGCGCGATGCACCTACCCTCGTTAGCGGTGGACGAGGCGTTCTAACCGCTATTTAATGACGGAGGCGTCACTCCGACTAAGGTCCCGGTGTGTTTGGAACATCCGAAATGGCCGATGCACCCGATGCACCGGGATGCATCCGATCTCCGAGTCGCTTTACCTATCGATCAGCCTGGCCGGTCTGCTCCGCTCGGGCGGCTCCCCTAAACGCTACAGCTCTATCATACGTACACCTGTTATCATCGTTTTATCCATCGTCTGCGGTTTAAGGTTTGCACGTTTATCTTTGGATTTTTTTTTTTTTTTCTTGCCATAGCGGTTGGTCGAAAAGAAAGAAACGCAGAGGGCTGCGAGATGCCAAGGGTGCCGTGGGTGAGAGAGACGGATAGACAGACAGAGTTAGAGAAGGCTCACGTAGAAGCTGCGCGCATCCGCGCGAGTAGATGCGTGGGCATCGAGTCAAGCTTTAGGCAGATCCAGAGATTCTGTCCCTTGATTTGCGAGGTCGTGCGAGGAATTACGTTACCTAGGGTGAGCTTCTCCCCCGAGTCGGGCGGCAGGGTGAAGCCCAGCAGCGCCATGCTGGAGATCAGCACGCAGGGGACGATCAGGTTGAAGAAGTAGTAGAGGGTGCGCCTGCGAATCTGGATCGTGAACGTCACGTCCACGTAGGGCTCCGGGCAGCACTGATACATGATGGTGTTCTTCTTGCCAGGCATCCCTAAATGGGAGAACGAGCGATTAATCGGTGACACTCTCCCCGTTTTCTGGGAGACCCCCCGGCGCCTGGATCTCTCGCGACGCCCGAGCTAGGAATTTTCGACATCTTTCACGGTTCGTAAAAATTCCGACGAACGGCGGACGAATTACTAGGCTGCTCATCCCGCAGCGATCGATAGCCCGTGGTCGTCGTCAATTTTTTACGGGGTTGTAACGAGCTCCGGATACTCGTGACAAAATTCATGCAGTAAGCCAAACGATACTTCAAAGACTAGAGCCTGAGTCTACGACTTAGGGGCGAGTCTTTGGGAATTTCGCGATCGATCTTCTGGAATCGGGAATCGTCGATTAATTCTCAGGGAGAGATCGAGGCGCCTTGACGATTTCGGGGGCCGACGTTCGAGTATCCTGGGCTTGGTCGTTTTTGAAAACGTCTCCGGCCTCGAGGGATCTCCTCCCAACAGGTGGAAGCGTTGTCGAGAGCTCGCATGGAGGATGTCCAGGACGAGGACCCGCGACCCCACGTGGCGGACCCCTTGTGACGGGGACTGGATGACGTGATCTCTGAAAATTCCACCTGGAATTCCACTTCCGTGGGTGTTCTTTTATACGTAAATGCAGTTTTGGTCCGCTCGCGGGTCCTCGGGCTGGTCTCCCGGATTCTTGGATCGGTTCGACGACTAACGACTAGACACATTCCGACGTGACTTGAGATGGCGACTCGGGTGCTCGAGTCAGACTCACCGATGAGATACCACTCGCCGTTCGTGATGAAGTCGGATAGGTCGCCGCCCCCCTCCGAGTTGAGAATCAGATCGAGCTACCAAGGTCAAAGAGTGATTAAAAGGAGGACACGAGGCTGATCCTACGATCGCATCGCACTTTTGGGTCGGTAGTGTGTATGTGAACGCCGTATCACGCCATGTACGCCATGTACTCTCTCATGTGCGCATGCATGCACGGGTGTCGGGCTCCTCTACGTGTCGGGTTCACGTGCGCGTCTCTCCTCTCGTGGGCTCCAAGTTTTGCGCCACGGAATGCGAGTTCGGGGACATCGGACCGAGTGGAGTGGCCGCGACAAAAGCGCTTTTGTCGCCAAGGGGTCGTTCGATCCGATCTGGAAAGCTTGCCGAGGTGTGCACCCACGATCCACGATTTCGGCAAGAGGGTGTCGAAAAAGTGGCGCCCCTCGAAGGGCGTCTAAAATTGAAAGGTAGGACTCGAGGGCGTCTAAAATCGAGAAGTAGGACTCGAGGGCTCGAGCGAGCCCAGCTCCTTGTCCTACCCACGCGGAGGTATGCTCGCACTTCTCCATGCAAATTTAGTCAACTTTCCGCCGAATAAGCCGATCGAGACTGGAAATTTGTATTCGGGCTCCCCTCGAATTGATTTATCGGGTCCGATTGTGCTCGGCGAGCTTTCGAGGAGACTGGAGAGCGACTCGTGTCGCGGCCTTGTATGTACACCGGGATCTAACGGTTCGAGGTATCCCGCGAGGAAATTAGTATACACGGGGAGAAATCGGGAGAGATCGAGATAGAGAGAGAGAGAAAGGGGGGCCGAGCCGGGAAGGGAACGAGGAGCCAGGGGGCGAGGAGGGAGCTTATTTCACGCCTGAAAATGGCTGTCGCCGAGCTTTACCGGATAAGCGCTCGACGAGCTGGCAACCCGACAAGCCGGCAAATTGACAAACTGACAAACTGACGAGCCTGCAAGTCGCGGGACGTGCACTCGATACACGTTTCGCGGGCAAATATTTATTCCTACGCCGAGGGGGCTCGTCTTCGAGAGAGTCGACGATTGGACCACCCGCGAAGTTCGCGTCCACCGCGACCCCCGAGAGATCCTCCTTGTCGAGGGATCTCCCGAGAAGGGGAGGCAAAGAGAAATTCCGCGAATCGCCCAGACATCGAGCGAATTAATTGCCTTCCATGAAGGGTGAGTCCAAGGCCGCATCTCGGCGGAGCCCCCTCGCGTAGCAACCCCTTTCGGCAGGGCAAGGTGTTGGTTCGCATCCTCCTCTTCGGGCTACGCTCCCCCTTCGCCCTTTCCATCTTTCCGGCCGATTTCTTCTCTTTTTCCGACGCGGTCGAGAGCGCCGCCCCTCGCCAACCGCGGGGTGGGCTTTCGGGACGGAAAGGGCGGAAAAAAAGCGGCCGGAGAAAGGGGAAGCTCGCACGACGCGCCGGAAAGTCGAGCACCTCCGAAAGTTCGCGTGGCCCTGACAGGGTGGGAACTACCCGCACACAAGGGAGGATCCGAAGGTGTGGCCGACTTGGTACGAGCACCGGTGGACTCGGCCCACGAGGATGGCTTTTTATCACGCGAGCTTACCGCCCAGTTTCCGACCATGGTTTTACGAGCCCATCTCGGGAACTCATCTTGACCGATGTCCAGAGAAGTTCCGCAAGTTCGAGACCCGGGAGAACCGCAAGAAGACCGGGATTTCGGAAAGCTCGCGATAAAAACCAGATCAGGATCACCGAACAGCGGGATCGGGGAACGAAGGCCTACACTAGGCAACGCGATCGACTTTCCAAAATTGTATGGAGTTACCTGGGCAAAATGTGGGAACGGGTAAACGTGGAAAACCATGTAACGAGCACTAAGATCATCCGTGAGACACTTTGCTCGAGTCGAATCCTGGTTTTCTAGACCGTCGGTTACTAGAGAATCTTGCTCGAGTTCCCAGTCATTTTGCCCAGCTAGCTCAAATCTGGATCAGAGGTCGGGTGTTAGGGAACAGGATCGGGATCAAGCGAGACGATCTACGACTAGACATTCGCCAAAACTCGTCGGACTCGGCGTGCACTAGTTGACGCCTCCACTCGTGAAGGCGTCCGCGAGCATGCAGCCAAAAAGAAAAACCAAGGAGGGCGAGGGAGCCTCGTCGGCCAGACTCGTGCAATCTACGGGCATATTTCTATGTATATCCACTGTTCCTGTAAATCTAGGTCTAATTCTACGACTCGCTACGTGAGGTGTGTGTATGTGCGTGTATGTACATGCGGCACGCCGATCGGGCGACCGATCGGCCGATGCGCTTTGCAGGGTCTTGTGGGGGGTCTTGGTGTACTTCTTAGCAGTGGCCGGGATGATTCCTAAGACCTCGGGTGACACGGTATTCGGTAGTTCCCGGGCTCTGATCGCGGGCACGAGAAGATAGGTTGCTAGAGACCGTCGAGGCGCTGCCAAGAGGGTAGCCGGAGAGCACCCCGTTGGGTGCTTTTTCGGGCTTACGAGTCTCGAGACGGTGCCGGGCGCAGCGAGTCCGCGAGACTTATCGCGGCCAACTCTGGAATATACCCTCCGATACACTCATGACGATGTAGACGGCTAGATGCGCGACTTGACTGTGTTCCAGGATGCTCGTATTCGAGGAAACGAGAATTTCCTGCGTTTCGAGGCGCAAAGGGCCGAGGGTCCGAGGTCTCTCCCGAATCCCTCTGATAATTGCCTCGCCGCCACCGTTGGCTCTGTAATTGTAATCGTAATTATATTTCCGACAGGGCTGCGGTTCCGTTGTTATCACGAATAATAAGCACCGGTCGGAAGGCCCGGCCCTCCAGAAATCCCGAAGCCGAGCCTCGAGGCATTCGCGTATCCGCGCGGATTGTTTTCCCGCGATTACCATGAAAAACGGGCGATGCGCGAAACGCGGAGCTGGCCTTTTTCCTCGCTGCGCCCAGGGTCCGTGTAATTATCGAGCCGTGGCGATGTAGTGCCGGATCGTGCACCGGATGCTTCCGAGGATGGTCTCGTCGCCGACCGTTCCCGACGGGCCAGGCCGCTGCGAGTGGTCGTCCTTGATATCCTTGTATCGGTTAAAATTGCAGGAAAAATAATATAAAAAATTGCCCGGGTTAGTTATCGAGATGGCTCTCCGTGGAAAGGTGAAAGACGCTTTGGGGAATTTTGAGGACCCAGATATTCGGTCTTGCAGCGGCCGAATCGGTCCGGATCGGTCGGCGATTGGTCGCACATGAATCGCGCCTCCCTTCCGAGAGAGCTTGCGCATCTTATCTTAAGTCGCCAATGCGAGCATCGTTTTGGACCGATCATCCGATTCTGTTTCCTTTTCTCTCTTTTCCTGACTTTAGACGGTCCTATCAGGATCCTCGCATCTTCGGTTTGGTTCGGCATGTGGTCTTACATGTTTGCCCAGGCTCGCCCGCACTGCACCGCGTAACGAGCGGTGCCAAGGGTGCGTCGAGGGGCACACAAGTAAGAGCGCATCCGAAAAAGCGGGCACTCACCCCACACACCTCCTGGCCTCCGCTTGTCCTTCCGAATAGTAATGGTGTCCCGAAAAATTAGGAGAGACCCTTTGAACCTTCCTGACATTTTCTGCCATTTGTGAAACCAGCGATACGTCGCGAGGAAGGAAACGATCCGAAGTACACTACGGCGATCGGAAGAATAGGTCGCAAAATGGGCCGCAGGTGCGAAAAAGACCACGTGAGAGGCCAGTCGTCAGGTGAATTCGCCGTAACGGGGATGGAACACGCAACAGGTGAAAGAGACACTCGAGCCTCTTAGTTTTCAATGCGAAGTCACTTTAGTCAGGGATCGCGCGATGATGGGTGACTTCCTGGATTGTATTTTCACGTTCGATCACGAAAAAATAACGCGGGAGAAAGAACCGAATAAGATGGCGGTCAAATATCCGAGGCATGAAGGGACTCACAAAAAGATGGCAGAGGGATGCCGGGAATCGACGCGATCAAGATGAGGGGCTGGAAGAGGCGTTCGCACTAACGTCAGAATTTTCCTCGACTTTCCACAGAGAGAGAACTCGAAGGCGTTCCCGAACTTGAAAATCTTCGGGCGAGGCCCTTAGAGAGCCTTCACGGTTTATTGGCTCGAGAAATTTAAATGGGACGAGACGCTCCTCGCCCCCGAAGAGTGCTACACTTTTTGCGACCCTCCTGAACTTCCATTTCGACGACCCTTCCTCTAGATCGACGTCGATTCTTCCCGGGAATTTCAATATGTCTACTTGGAAAATAAATCATCACCCGAAGGGATATGGCGAGGGTTGGGGTAAAACGCGGCATCGCAGGTTTCGGCAGACGGTCCAGACGTTGGACGTTCCCCAATTTTTGACCTTCGGTTTCTTCCCCATCGAGTCGACTTCAGGGTCGAGGTTCGAGGGTGTGCGAGGCGAGTGCGACCTTAAATCTTAAGCTACCCTGGCGAGCACCCATTCCCTTCGTCCTCCAAGAATTCCCAATCGGACCGAGGAGAATCTCGCGAGAAAAGCGGATCGCAAGGAGGAATCGGGCGAGGAACCGGGAGACTCGATCCGGGCGAAAAGTCCGCGAGTAATGAGTACCTAATTGACCCAATCAAATCACGTTTTAAATGGAAAAATCGACTTTCCCCGAGTTTTCCCGCCCTGCGAGGAGAAGCGACCCGGGCTGCTTAATGGTCCATTACGAGATCGCCTCGTCTCGGGCGATTCAAAGGAAAGGACGTCCCGCTTTGAAAAGTCACGATCGAATTCGAGCTCGCGATCACGGCCTTATCCATTGTCACGTCCGGACGTATCTCAAGGGAGCGCGATTAAAAATGCGAAATGTCTCCCTTCGCCCTTATCCTTGAGAATCGAGGGACATTCCCTTTGGTCTCGTCTTCTCCAATTAGGATGCCGAGCGGAATCTCCGGAGACACGGCTCGGGTGATCGATTAACGCGGATCGATGCCAATCGCGGCGATACACCTGGCTTTCGTCTTGGGCCACGGCCGAGCCAAATCAATTATGCGATTAATCAGGGCCCGAGTCTCCCGCGAAGGCGGTGGGTGGCGGTGGGTGGGAACGGGGAATTCGGGGAATGGGGACTCGCCTGCGGCTGGCATGGAAGCGTCACTCAGCTATCGACTCCACGGGGCAGATCCTGGATTCCGGGTTGATGGATTGTAAATAAGCCTGTCCAGGTGGAAGCTCGGGTTTAGGGACGAGCGGGAAGAAAAGATGGCGGCGCTCGGCTAGCTCCGGGCGGTGTTCTCCGAATTAGGGCCGCCGTCGTCCTGCCCGGACCGACGGGGGGCGGCGGGGGTGGCGGGAAATTATCGAGCGCCGGTAAAACTCCCTCTCGGACTTGGACTCGGCTCAAATTGCACGAAAAGCTTCTTCGCTCCGCGCTTTCCCGCGACCTCCCCCCCCTGGTCGCCATTGCTCACGCGAACGGACCGCGAAAAATCCTCCCCCGTCACCTTGAAAACGGAGGAGGATTCGTTTTCGGCGAAGAACCTCCGATACCCGTCCAAGGTTCCTCCAAGAGCGGAAGAGCGTCCTGTCGGACGCGTCCTCGATGAGGCACCTTGACGAGATACCCCGGTATCGACGGCCGATCGATCCTTCGTCCAAAGAGATTCGTTCCATTGACGAGCCACGAGCGCTCGCGATTTCTTCGTCTCCTCGGTGGATTGCTCTCATTGTCTCGCTAGTCCGCGAGGGTGGCGACTCCGCACCCCTAAAATCACCTAAGCGGCTCTTTCTCCTCGACTCTCTCGGTATGGATCCGTCGACTCGGCGTCCCGCCGCCCTGTCCAGGTTTCACGAGCTAACCTCGTTACGCCGCTCGAATTAGCGTCCAGGAACCGAATTGGCGTCGATCGGGGGTGGCGGGACCAGGACACCTCTCGATCGGTCACGGGGCGACGGGATTAAAATTCGATTCGAATCGATTATAAATGCGAATCGTCGCGACCGGGCAGGAGAAAGAGGTCCCGAGACGGTCGCCATTCTTCAAGGGTGGACGCGCCGAAGCGGTGGTGCGGAGTCGGTAGTAGAGTGACGCCGAACGTGTGCCCCATGCAAAATCGTTCTTCTCAGCTCAGACATAATCACGTGGTCCCTGCTTTGACTGGTCGATGTATATAGTGTGGGATCATGTAGAGTACGTAGAGTCAGAGATGTGGCCGATGCGGATCGCGCGGATCCCAGAGAGCGCGCCGGACCATGTGGGGAAGCGTCCTTCCGTGGGGGTCCGTCCTCTGTAACTTCGGGGTGCCGGTACCCGAATTCGACCTAGACGCGGGTTTGTGGACTCATGTGCCCGCGAACGCGAGCGTATGCGTGCCACGGCACGGACGCGTACGCGCACACACGGTCCAGAGGACGCAACTCCGTCGAAGCCCTCGCTTCGCCTTGGAAGCGTGCAAACAAGCAGAACACACACCGGCAAGCGACATCGGAACATTGGCGCTTTCATTCAGCCTCCGGCCCGACTTCCGGTTCCGCATTCGGAACGAGTGCGCCAACAGGGAGAATTCCCCGATTTCTTGCGACTCCCTCATCGGCGACGCGAAAACCGTTCACCAAAATGGCGGCGTAGCCGACTTCGATCGCCGGATAAGCGATCATTGCCGAGGTCGTCGAGGTCGGCAAAAAGAGGTGCCAAGAGGTTCTCGACATGGGGGTTCACGGTCCCGGACCTCCCCTCGACGACCCCGAGGAAGGCCTTGGCTCGGTGGTAAGCTGATGGAAGCTCGAGTCGGTGCGACCGGGAAAGATATATCGGTATATATATAATCAATATATATATCTCGATACGTCTCGACTCACGGGTGATTTTTATCGGGGACCGTTCCTCCCCTTCCCGGCCACCTCCCACCCGCCCACAGTTTCTCCCTTTAATTCTGAAGCTACGAAGCGTGAGTACGGCTATCTACGGAGCGTTGCTATTGTGTGTTGCACTGTTAGGTGGCGAAAGGGCGGAGTTGAAGGTGGAGAGAGAGAGAGAGAGAGAGAGGGCGATAAGGCCGGCGGGAAAAGGTTGGCGAGGTTGGAGGTTGGACGTCGATGCGCCGGGTTTCCATTGACGGTGGTCCCGCTGCTCCCTTTGGCACGGGATGCTCGCGGGAGCAGACGAGAGATAGGTTAATTTCCCGCTGGATCGATGCCGTAAAGGGTTGGAGGGCGGCCAGTGGACGGGACTCGACAACGACCGCGTAAAGGGGCTTTCTCTCGAGGGGCGTCGCGGTCCCTCGTCTCGCGGCGACCCGAGGACTCTTCCTCGAGTCCGCCGTCGTGCGCCACCGGGACACCGTCGAGAGGAAACTCGCCCCTTCGGGCTGTGGAAAACGCCCGCTTTCCGCTCTTTCCTCCAAGGATGGGTATAGCAGTTGGCGCCAATCGCTGCGCCAAGCCGTTCGAAGCTGGAAGTCCGACCTGGCCGAGGTTCGTCGGCGAGGTCCGTCGAATTAACGACGCCTAGCCGACGTTCGCCCACCGAGATGTAGAAACCTCTTCCCTCCACCGTGGTCCTCCTTGTCCCCGTCAACGATCCAGCCCCGAACGGCTCCAACCGGCACGGTTCACCGCGCGACATCCGATCGGTACCACGCACACGTAAGTCGCGAAATGGAGCCTCCCAGAAATAATCAACCCACCCGTCGTGTCTGGTATCGCAAGGGTACATCGAAAGCACACTTAGTATGCGACTGCAGCATCCACTTCCGTTTCCACTCAAGCAGGTCTTCCCGGCCAACTTCCCGTAACATCGCCATCGCTCGCGCTCGGCCGTGCCATGGCATGGACGCTCCGACCTCCCCTCTCACCCTCTGGGGACCATCGACCTTCGACCCTTCTTCGATTCCCGCGAGATTGGCACATCGCGCCCGGAATCAATCCCCAACTCTATTCCACCCTAATCGGGCGCTCCATCTCGAGGTCCAACTTCGGAGCTCGTGTACGATGATCGTTCCTCGAAATAATGCCCCATCACCGGAGATCGGGAACCGGTACCCCTGGAGGCCGAAATTCCCTCTCAGGGAAATTCTCGGTCTATCTCGGAATTGAAAAAGAAAAGTTGGAATCTATGGATTCGATGGTCCCGCCTCGTCGACGCGATTAGAGGGGACGTCGCAGTGTTCCTAGCTGGATGCAGCCGCGCTCGTTGATGATGGCACCCTATTCGGATTAATGCGTGCCCTCGGGAGTGGGTACTCGTTCCCGAGGGACTCGCTCGGGGTGGTTTTGGTCACGTCGCTCGACGTTTAAGAGGTCGGTTCGCGCGTTTGGGCGTGTGGCGCACGTGTGTGTAGCGTGTGTGCGTGTTTGCGTTGCTCCTGTGTGGTGTGGAGGCGGTAGTGTACCTGGTTGCCGTCGTAGGTCCAGGATCCGAACTTCATGTCACAGTGTTGGTCGTCAAAGGGGAACCAAGCGATGTCTATCTTGCATGTGCTCTTGAAGATGCCCGGTGGGACGTACAGGCAACTGCCGTTATGCGTGACCACCACGTTTGTTTGGTACGTCCCGTCGAAACCCTCATCCGCACTATACCGTTTCATGTGTGTACACATATTATATACATGTAGATGCCAAGGGATCGTAATTAGCAATCGTTAGCGGTCGTTAGCGGGTTTAGCGGACCGAGCGACCGGCGTCGAACCAGGAAGGAGGCGATGAGGGCGTCGAGACGTCCCCGATCCCGCGAGGAAATGTCGTCCGATGCGTTCGACATGTCGCGAACGAGCATCTTTGCACAGGAAGTTAAGCTCGAATCGCGTTTACGCCTCCTTGGGTTTTAACGCGCCGTTTAACGCGCTCCAAGAGTCGCGGAACTTCTTGAGCAAGATTCGCGGTCTCGTCAGGATCTCTTCGGGCGGATTTCGAAGATGTTGTAAAGGGAAGAGATGATGAACGAAGAGAGAAGTTTTGTGGCCGTCTTTTCAGGGAAATCTTAAAGTACCTCCGTCCTGTTTCGCTCCGGTTTGGATCTTTTTTTTCTTTCCCGGCAAAGTTTCTCCGGATTTACGCGAGTTTAGGGGCACGACAGAAGTTCGTCATTTTGGACTTGGTGTGCCGATTTCACGTCGTCACTCGGGGTTTATGTCCGACGGAATTCGCTCGTTACGGACTTTAAACTTGAATTTGCATTGTTTACGGTCAAACGCGTCCATATTAAGCGGATATTTTCAACGGCGGAAAAAAGCGACGCCTCGAAATTCGCTCTCGCATTTGACGCACTCGCGCGTAACTTGCGACCGGCGATGCGTCCTTTATCGGCCCGACTTCTAAAGAGCTTATCAACGATCGCGAATTATTTTAACCGAAAATGTTTAACATCGACCGACACTTCGTTTACGGATGGCCGCGGGTTTGGGAGGCTAACGGAGCCGTTTTACGATTTAACGGACGGTTAATGCTCGCGACTGCGTGACGGTTTGCGCGGACGCGAACGTTCGGTTTAGGAGATTTACTCGCTGAAGAATGGAAATGGCGTCGAATCGGTTTCCCGGAGTGAGAGTGCCTGACCCTGAGGTGACGCGATTTGTCGATCTCGAGCCGAGTGTCTTGAAAATGTGTGGGAAAGAAAGTGTCGAGACCGACCGAATGAGCAGTAATCGATAGATATGACTTATCTCCCCAGATCACCGTAACCCATTGTATCACCGATCGTGGAAAGAGTATCGATCCTTTTCGACAAATCTCGATCGTCAGAACGAATCGTCACTGCGCAAGGATTGTCTGAGAAAATCCCTGAAATCCTTGAAATTCCTGCAGTCTCTGTAATAAATAAAAAAAAAGATTCCCATCTCGATTTTTTTTTTCTCGCGATCTACGATGCGACTTCCCGTTTTGCACGTATCGATAGGTAAGTGGGAACGAAACAAGGCCTTCCGAATTTTCCGTAATTACTCTGCGCAAATCGACACGCCCTCTCGAAAAGGTATGGAGGGGTCGCCGAATTCGAGCTTTATTGCTTTTTCTTTGGCCACTCGGACTGCTGGTCAAACTATTCATCAAGTGCGAGTAATCGATAGCCCGGCGAGTGCCAACTCGGAGAATTAAATATTTTCACGGTCGGCAAACTGGGTCACCTGTTACTGGGAGTGCAATCCTCTCGTCAAAGGACATCCAAGCCGGAAACGAAGAACGCATCGAATCGCGCTATCGAGTAACCTCCGACCCGATTCCCAACTCTCTCCCGGTGAACTTCGACTCCTGAATATTTCAGAGAATTCGAAGAGACTTCCGAGATGGGAAAGAATTTTCCAAGAAAAGTACGCGTCGAATCTCTCCTCCACCAGGAACCGAACTCGTCGACCCTTTCTCCCAGGCTGTCATTCTGCATTCGAAATCCGCCTTTTACCGAAATAACGCGTCCCGGCGTTCTCTAATTGCATCTAGCTTTACTCGGTGCTCAAAAGTTCCCCATTCGCGGGCTTTTTCCGCCAAGTTTAAATCCCATTGGCAGACCGGCGAATCACCCCGTGGCGCGCGGGGCGCGGGTAATTGCAAGGAACTGAATTTAAAATTTCGGAAAGTTCCCATTTACACGGGACGCGTTTTCTCCTCCTGGGTCTGGCGAGTACCAGCCAAGTTTTTGTAATCAGGTTTCTTGGGCCGAAGTTTAAAGTAGGTGCCCCGACACGAGGGCCGGGCAAAGTGCCGACCCGACTCGCGCCCTTTGACGTCGGGCCCTCCGCGAATAAGGTATCGAATATTTTCCCCAGCCCTCCGTTTCGCGCCCGTTCGTCTTGTTGCATATTCATGAGCGGAATCGAGGGATTCGGAGCGAACGGGGTGCTCCTTTTGCCACCCGTGGGAATCTTCACCTCCTGGGAACAATCGATCCCGGTGACGAGCAGAATCGGTCTTGTACGGTCGAGTCTTAGTTTGGTCTTGCATGTATAGTCAGGACTTGGTCTTGCATTTTTTGCACATTTTCAGAATTAAATCCGTAAGACCAAAACTAATTTTGTTCTTCGATAATCGAATCCGACCATGGAAGCGATCTCCGAATTTTTTCCAGAACTGTCGTTAGGGGTGAATTAATAACGGCGGGTAGTAAACTTAATGAAGCCGGGATAACGACGATTTGGTCCGGCCTCCTTCAGGAGGCATCCTTGGGGGTCTCTTCGGAGCGCCGAGAGTTGCCCGGAAATGTAGGTCGACGGGAAGACGAGACGAGGTTTGAAGCCGTTCCGAAACTCCGCGAGGCGCGAATTATCCCGTTCCCAGGACCCGACAGGGGGTGACTTTTGAAGCCCACGCCCGAAAGTGTCCGAAGTCTGAAAATCTGAAGAATAATGGAGTAACGCGAAGCGATCGACCGACATTAAGTTCGTGTCGAGGAGGTCTCGGGGGCAGAAAGACCCGAGGGTGGCGTTTAGCGTTTCGCGAGTAAGAATCTTCCCGAAAAACGCCGTCAAAGAAGGAAACACGCAGGTGGAGTCTGTAGTCGGAAACGATTCCATCGAGGCTAGAAGAGTCTTTCTGGAGCCCTCCACTTTTCTCCTCTCCACCCTTTCGTATCTGTCTCAGCGAATATTCCCTTGCTTCCATTTTCCGAAACCACGAATCCAACCCCGCAAAAAGCGAAAATCACGAACCAACGCGGAGACGTGAAAAGGGTCGACTTTTTAAAGTTCATAAAATTTCGGAAAAAACGAGAGCGAAAAGTCGCGGTGCTTTCTCGAAAGGGCGAAGTGGGGAGCGATTTTCTTTTTTTTTTCTGGAACGAGGATTCGAGGGGAGTCGGCGACGTCAAAAGGAATTTTCGAGTCTCCGGGCTGTCCATTGTCGGAGACGATCCGCGAGAGGGACATCGCAGAAATCCCCTTCCGGGCAGAAGCATTCCTCCAAGTGGCGCGTTCATCGCGAGGCTCGTCGTAAAAAAGCGGACCGGGTCGACTGGGGGGTCGTCGAGGCGGACGTCGGCGGCAGTGCTTTCCCTCTTCCGAGGCGTTTTCCGAGTTCTCGAATTCTCGTGCGATTGTTCCCCGCCGACAAAGACGTCGGTTCCCGAGAGTCGCGGGAACAAATCGCATCCCGTCCCCGCGATTTCGCGCCCCAGCGGCGACCCGAGCTCGTGGCGAAACTCGTCAATTATTCGCAATTACGCGCGGGGGTGTTTCCCCCGAAACTTCCCCCAGTCGACAGAATTTTCCGCGGCGGGCGGCACAAAACTTGTAAATAGGAATTAACTGGCAACAGTGGCAGCCAGATTTACGAGTGTCCCTGATGATCACCGCCGGAAACATGTAGAAAAATTGTACCTTCGATACGTGCAGATGGGAAGTCCCCCAATGTTCCCCGGTTGACAGATCGATGACACATGTAGGTCGCTTCTGGACCATCGATTCGTTCCCGACTACCCGAGTGACGATTCGATCGACTCGTTTAGTGAACGGGAGGAACGTCGACGGACGCGACGCCCGAACCGACGTCGACGCGACGTCCGTCAGGGCGCAGCGACGGAGACGTCGCTCCTCCTCAGAGAATGTCCAGGTCAGGGGTCTGAGATTGCACACGTGCCCTCTCGCGCGTAGCATGCAGACTTATGGTTTACTTTTTTTATCCAGTTCCGTTTAGTGGTTTCTCGTTTTACGGGTACGGTCCAGGAGTTTGTTTAGTGTCAGTTTTCCACACCAGAGGGACGCAATGGGGCGGCGTGGCGGATTTCTATGGACGAGAAGTTCACGACGGGCCTCGGGAATTATCCCGAACCTGCCCCGTTGCCTTCCTCCAGCTCGTAATCGATTAGAGTCCACGGTTTATTCTTTAATGCAATTCTTTAAGGACATGCTGATTGCCGGCGAAGCCGGCGCGGCCGGAGCGACTCCTGCGACCTCCACGACAGGGGTGGGTGAATCTGCGAATTCGCGAATCCACGAATCCGCGAATCTCCCTCTCGCCAATATGGCGGCGCAATCTTGCTTCCCTCTGTCAACCTCCCGCGTGAAAAGGAAATATTCATTTTCACGCGGCGCGGCATGTGCGGTTCGTTAATTAATAACGCGTCGCCACGGGGCCTGGTCGCGACTCGCTTCAGCGGAGGACGTCGCCCTCTTCTCGAATTTCCCTCGGAAAATCAACGGACCAACCCCTTGTGCGGGTCTCCCAGGGGAGGGTCGCCATTTCCCCCGTTCCCTGCGAATCGAGGACCGAGTCTCGGCGACGCCTCGATCCGGCCGCGCCGGTCGGCCTGCGAGTTGTGATTAAGGGATGAGGTCTGCTTTTATGCGTTTATCCTCGGGTCCGGTCGCCCCGAAAGGTATTAGCTCCAGGTTTAGCCGACTTCGGATTAATCTCGGGCTCAAAGGCCCCGCGGTTTAAACGGCTGATTCGTTTAAGCCGAGCGGTTAGGGTTTCACCGACCGGGCCGCGGAACTCGCTCCCTCCGAGCCGCGAGCCGAGCGAGCTCGACCTCGCCATTTTTCCTTCGCCCGTGGCCGCTCCAAAATCTCTTTAACATTCGGTTTCCTGATCGTGGGACCTTCTCGATTTTTTCCAGCCTCCCACGAGCGAGGGGTGTCTCGGAAACGAGGCTCGGATCGCGGCGGAACGCTCGCGGGTCGCTCGAGCGAGCGAACCGCGCGAGGGAGCGAGCAACGGGCTCGGCCATTAAGGTGGCCCGCAGTAACGGGGTAGCCTGACGTCGTCTCCCATTAATTATTAACACAATTAAATCGCACTCGCCCCAAACGAGCCGGCCCTTCTCGCGTCGCATCGGGGTTCTCGAAACGGGACGTCGGGTAGACGCCGTCGAAAATCGCGACCCGCTCGCTCGTTAACGCGCTCTTGTCTCCGCTCTTGGCCGCACCTCCCGAAACTAGGCTACAGAGAGTAAACGGAGTTTTTACTCCGACTCGTCTATCCAGTTCCCGGCCGCCACGCTCCGGATAAATCGATTTCGATAATCGCATTCGACCGCACCGCGCGTCCAATTATCAGCCCGCGGTGGATCGACCCGACAGGCGACGCGCGGCAACTTGGATCGTCGAGTCGACGCGAACAAACGCGTCAGGTCGCTACAAAGTGGAGCATCCGCAGGCGCGACTCGATCAAAAGACGCGGTACCGGGAAACCGAGGAAAACCGCACTCGGCGAGGCTAATTGCCGAGAAAATCGGTCGCGGCGCGACGAGAGGGTATCTTCTCTCTCTCCTTGCCCCTTGCCACGATTCTCCGGATCGCCACCTCCACCGTCCACCTTCGCTTAACGGCGCCCTCGAAACGCGCCAATTACCCGGTTCCGGGGGTTCGATCGCAATTACGAGGTAACGGGCGAAATCGAAACGCGCGGCGACTCCTGTCGGCTTGCGAACGACTATCGTCCGACACTTACGAGTTAGTCGATACAGAACCGTAAACGCGTCATCGTAAACCGAGGGGTCCATCCTATCTCCCCGTATCCGAGTTGCGGCGATATGGCGCCCTATCGGGGCCCTCGCGGGATAATTCGACGGTCGTTCTCGGCGGGATAACGGGGGCGATCGAATCGACCGCAGGGTGTCGAATGCGGATTCCGGGCTCCTTGGAGATACACGCGTTGCGCGGCCCCCCTGAGTGCGCGTTAACGGGGGAAATGTCTGATAGCGTTACCGACATGGCGACGCCCGCGCGGGTGAGTTCGCTAATTCGGGGCTAATTCGAACGCGATTTGCGGGGGCCGATTAACGCATCGACTCGGGCACGGGTCCCGAGGGAGAAGCGGGACTTTACGACGCTCGGTCCGGCCGAGTTACGACCGCTCGAATTTAACGAGAGACCCGTTGTGGAGCGTGCCCACGGAATTCGTTTCGCCCCTGGAGACGAGGCCTCCTCTCCTTTCGCCCTCCGCGCCCGGTTTCCACCCTCTATCCGCAGAGGAGAGGCTCGGAGCGAAGCAAGGCGGACCTCGACAAGACCCTCGCGGTCCAACGCTCTAGGAAATAATTGGTTTCCGGGCGAAGTAAAAAGAAATCGAGGCCTCGAGCCGCACCTCGGGTTGCCGCGAGGCGAATCGATTCGCCTAACCCGAGCCTAGAAGGCCGCGTCTTCTCCTTAATTCCGCTTCGCGCGCCGCAGTTGGTCCCGGTTTACGCCCAGTATACCGTAATCACCGTGTAAACTCAAGGTAACCGACAAAGCGAGAGCCGACACGTTGAACGCCCTACACTTCCAAGGACCTCGTGTTCGCGATCGCCGCGAACCGCAGAGGTCCTTCCACGACGACCACGGCCGGAATCGCGCGGTTTTCGGGCGTGACGGCGCACTAAGTTACGGCCCTTTACCGGAATCTAACTTTACGATCTATACACCGATATACGTCACGGGGGCCTGGTAGGAGGGTCCTGGAGCATCGAGACAAAGTTGCCCCGTAAATTCCTGCTATTTCGAGCGAGCACGCGTCCTCGACCGCGTCCTGGGATGCGTTTTTCTCTCCGGGATTTTATGTTCCGATAGCCCCGACCGCTTCGAGTAAATGCTTCGGGCTGAGCAATGGATCCCACTGGATCTCGTCGCGACGTCCCGTTGGGAAAATCCGCGTTTGGGGCGAGTGCGAGCGTATTATGGCGGGCGCCAAACGTTTCGCGATGTCGCGGAACTTCTGGCGTCCGGATGTCGTTAAGCGTTGTCGTTTAAATCTAGGTTCCATTATTCTAGTCCATTATTCTTAAGTGGTTGCGAAGCAACGTCTGGACCGCGAGACCTCCCCGGCATCCCGTGATCTCCTCCCGCGGGAATCGGACGGATCGATCTTCTCCCCTGAGGGACGTCCTGCGGAAACGAGCCAAGGAGGATTCGGGAACCGGAGACCTCTCGCTGGCCCAGCGGCCGTTACTTTCGTGCCACTAACGTTATTCCGTACGTTGTGCTGCAAAGATCGTAAAACCTGCCGCGAATCGCCCGGTTTCGAGCCCTCACCTGTATTTCCCACCCCGGTCCCAAGAGTCTTCGCCGAAACCCGAAACCCGGATTAATTAAGCTCGAAATTCGAGCTTCGACTAGACCGAACGAGAATCCCTTCGCTATTCCTCGTGGGAATTTTTTTATACTTCTTTCTTTTTACCCCGAGGAGGAAATTCACTCGCTGCGTCTCGGAGTAAAAAATCGGGCGACTCGCGGCGTCTACGACTCGGGCTTCGTGATCGTACAGGCGCGATATATTTACAAAAGGTACATAACGGAGAATGTGGGTATTTCTGTAAAATATGCGTAGTTTCGTAAATATATATATATACGTACACATATATGTATATGCACGTGTATGTATATATATATACATATATTGCGTGACAGGTACGGGTGGACAAAGTACGTTGTTTTATAGTTCTCTAGCATGGAGTCAAATAAACATGCATATATATATATATTTATATGTATATATCAGGGGTCTCGAATACACTCTCAATAGGTAAGATGCGAGAAGCAACACTTGGAAAAGACATTACGTACCCCTTACGACCGTTATTCTAGACAGTGGTTAGTTACAACGATATCGTAGGACGGCTCGGACGGTTCGTACGAATCTCGTTTAAATGCGACTGGGCTCTTCTGAAACATTCTGAATGCCGCTGTGAGACCGTTCCCTCGTTTTACTGGTGGCCGACCCTCCGGATTCGTTTAACGGGGGCTTCGATTTGCGAGAACGTTTAATCGCCGTTTTACGGCCGTGCCATTTAGCGATGAGATTTTTATCTTCTTCGGAAACCGGAGATCGGGCATCGACGATTACCGACGTGAAACAATCGAAAACATCTTCAAGTCCACTGTAAAGACTTTTCCCGAGGACCATGGCTCCCTGACTTGAAGATTCCAACTTAAGAAATTATATATTACATATACTTTTTTCCCCTCTTTATTTCCACCAAATGCAAGCAAGTTCTCAGTTCGCTTTCGATAACGACGTCCTTATTCGCGTTACTTTTCCTCCCCTTATGCGTTTCCGTCGTATCGGGAATTTGGAATTCGAGTTAAAAGGAGAGATCACTTTTACGTTTCCTTCCGTTGTACGTTTCATATTTTCCCGTCTCATTAGAATTGAAAGGCGATGTGCATTTTAAGAGATCTTTAAAGGACCCGATTTGAGGGTTAATTCTTAGGGAAAATTTCGAACCCTCGAGGGGACTCTCTCGCGGAAGTCGAACGTCGAAATTCTGAGGAGGTGGTAGAAAAACGTTTATTTCGCTGATCGAAGGTGATTAACGAATTGTTTGGTTTGAAATTCCGTTTCGAATCTTCGCATTTCAAGTTTCTTATTTTTCTGCGCGGTTTCTCCGCGGATGCGGAGTTTTACCCGAACGGAGAGTATTTATTAGCTTAAGACGCGACAACCGCGGACCGGACGTTGATCTAAAGAAGCGATATCAATCCTCGTTAAAAATGACGCGAGTCGTCGTTACCTGTTGTACATGAGGACGTCCGGCTTCCAGAGCTTGTTCGGAGTTATCCGGAGGTCCTTCACTCCACCGTACTCGGTGACGTTCCACTGCAAGTTGTAATCCGTCCACTCCTGCGAAACGAAAAGGCCCGATCAATGAAGAGCAGATCGAAGTGGCGGTACATGTTCGATGTTTAAACGAAAAGGACACGTTCGCTCTGCCGAGGGAGAGACAAAAACTGGAAACGGTGCCATTAGTATTTCGCACTTTATCGAATTTAATTCACGTTTGACGGGCATTGATTTGACAGCCATCGGCTCCTTCTCCGCCAACAATAAGGAGTCCTTTGGCAAAGTGCATCGCGAGGTGTCGGCGTTGCATCTCCCTCCTTGGGCTAACGGCCTCGGCCGTTAATGCCTGCAATCTCTAGTGGGGCCAAGGACTACCGGATTTACGAGCGTCCAGGGATGAATTTTAATGCCATAGTTAACTTCAATTATTCGGTATTAATTGTCTGCGGCGCAACTGCCGCGTCGGGGCGGCGGAGATCAATTTATCGCAAGAGACCGTATGGCCCGTCGACGAATTCAATTGCGGGTTAACGGGTCGTTAGCGTTTTTCTCCCCCTTCTTCGGTTTCCGGGGACACCGTCGTCGCCGGAATTAGGAACGATCCCTCTTTCCGCGGAGAAATCGGAGACACCCCGAGGGCGGTTCGACGCGTCCCACCTCAAGTTCCGTCAAAGGATCATCCTCCGAAATTCTCCAGGATCTCGACGCCGATAATCATTCTTCGCCGCTCGTCGGCTCGCAGACCCGAAAATATCCCGCAAATCGTTTCCGACGTCCGGAAGGAAAGATTTCGAAGCAAACATCCCGGGGACAAGCAAGTATTTCTTCATTTTGTCCGAGTTCTTGCAAAGTGTCCCTTTGAAAGATGGCGGGGACGTGCCGGGGAATATCTTAAGAGTAATATATCTCGTATCACTTTGTGACTTCGCGGCGACCGAGTTTGAATAACGCCGCGCAGTTTGGAACTTCCGCGGGAGAGTAATACCGAGAAGAATACCCGTTACGAGGTAATGAAAATACCGCGAGGATCTGCAGTATTTTGCGGAAGGGACGGATAAGGATGTCGGCAGAAAGGGCATTTTCCGAATGACGAGTCTGCGACCGGATATAAGAGCGATCCTTAAGGGCAGATATGAAAAAAGAGAAAAAAAAGGAGGGAAAAATATGACCAGCCTTCATCGAAGGCGCTCCCAGGAGGAACACGCTCTTCCTCGACGGTCGAAGCTGTAAATTGATGCAAGAGGAAATAAAAAGCCCAGGATTCGACGGTAAAGTGTTTTCGCATAACGAGGAGCCCCTTAAGGATTCCCGCCCTCCCTCTCCCCGGAGACCTCCTCCATTTGTCCCGCGATTACTCTTAAACGGCCCTCTGTAAATCCACAGACTCGCGCGATATTAACTCTTAACTGGTTACACGCCACTACACCTCCGGGCTCTCGCCTTCCGCGTTTCTGCCGTCCCGTCTCAACGAGGAGCAATCAAAGCGAAGTATTTCCCGATACCGAGACGACACCTGATCCCACTTTATTTCAGACTTCGCTTCCAGCGACTGCACGACCGAAGGCGGTCGCAACGTCTCGAAACGCGACGCGTCCCGTTCCCGATCCATCTCCACCGCAAGAACCGGAGATGAAAATGAGATCGATGGGATAAAATTCTCCTCTAAGTACCCCGAAAATCGTCTTTCACCTGCGAGCTCCATTTTTCGAAAGAGTCTGGAAAAGCTATTCCCGGTTGTCCGAAACGGCTCCTCCACCCGGCGGTTAAAATTCAGGGAAAGCTCGCGATAATAAATTACCCCCGCGTCAAACTTCCTCGGCGGATCCTTAACGCCTTCCCTTCCTCGCCGTTTTTGCCTGACTTTCCGTCCGACGTGTTTCGAAAATGGTACACGCGTCGTGGGGTTTGATAAATGTGCCGGAATGATTTGTTCCCCACGAGTTGGGGATTTATTAGTTAGGAGGCTGAATATTAAAAAAATCCGGGGGTTGAGGGATTTAAGAGTAAGGGTGTCGTCCCTGTGCTCGATTTCCAGGGCGCACGTTGGATGGGCTCAGGGACCACTCACGGTGGGGACCATCCATCTCCCAGTGCCCACAATCGTGGTCGGATGCATCCCGCTCGGACTGGGGGTGCATTAATGCAGCGCGTGCCTTGGGTTAAGGTCGGGACTATATGGGCTGTCTTAGCAAACCGCGGCCTGTCCGCCGGCTCGACCGACCGAATCGCCCTGGTATGACGAATGCGAGACGTGGATTCGCCCAGGGATGTCCGGAAATCCGGAAATCCGCAGACCCGATCGGACGCATTCATCGGTCTCGGGGACTAAGGACTGCATTCGGCTGCAGCGCTGCAGCGCAATGCTGGCGGTGGAAAGTGGTTTCGGTCCGCCATTAGTCAGACTGAGACTAGCGTCGAGCTTCGAATTTGAACAAAATTCGTCTCCGACCAACCATCTACGGAATTGATATTATTCCCTTACATCCAAGCTGGTAGGCTTGCATTGTTTCAGAAAATCGGGGTTTTAAGGGCCTCTATTGTGGCGCAAGGGTACAGAAGGTAGCCGATCAGTCAGTCAAAGGGGTTCGCGGCGTTCTGGCAAAGCGACGAGTTCGAGAGCTCGTTTGGTGTCATTTTTTGGCGCAGTGGGACAACACCGTGTTCCTCTTTGAATTTCGATCCCCTCTCGAGCCACCCTCGAGCGCAGGGGTGCGAAAGGCGCGAGCAAACGGCGTGAATCGGAATTGACTCGACGCCGGTAGCTGCGAAACGTCAAAACAGGACACGCGTTAACGGGCGAAGGGTGCGGATCGATGGAAGGGATGACGTGCGATGCTAGTTAGGCTTGGGTGCCAGCTAATTAGCTCGGCGAGCACGCTTCGTTATATCAAACCACATCGGGCTACCGAGTATCGACCACGGCCGAGTCCTGCTCTCTCGGGGAAGCCGCGAAAATCTTCTCAAGGTTCCATTTTTGAGAGCTGCGCCCCTCACGTGGCCGCAGGACCCACTTCCAGTTTGCATTTCGACTCATCGCCTAAAAGAGAAACTTAACCCGGATTAAGTCCATCCAGAGAGGACATTTCCCTGGGAATTCATATTTCAACGAGCCTCAGTTATGTCGGATTGCGAGGCCGTTTCTTTTTATCCCTCCCCGAGGAAATCTGCTCTCTAGAGACAGGCCCATTTTCCTCAATTTTGAGAAAATAATTCCAGCAATATGCAACGATGCGCATCGATGCAGTTCCTCGGAATCGAGGTATCGAACGTGGGTGGTGCAGCCTGCTGCTACTTATACAAAAACAAATACCGCCCGATTCGACGGAAGTAATCCGGTTTGTTTCCTCTTTTTAGCCGGGTGCCAAAACCGAACGATCTATGGCGACCAGGCACCGTAGTAATCCACCGCGGATTTATCACATCAACCGTAGAGCCTCGTTAATTACCGCTTATTCCATTAGCGCTAACAATTGAAATTCTCGATTCAACGCGGAGCATCGAAATCGCGCCGACTCGCGTCCTGGATTTTCGAAACTCGGTCTCCGTCCTGGTTCTTCGCCCGTTTCTGTTCGCACCCCGCGAAATCCTGTTCCGCGCATATACATACGTCCGACCGAATGATTAATCATTTCCGTAAGCTTCGAAGTTAATATTGATAGATCGCAATCGTCCAATCCGGAGAAAGGGTGCTCCAGCCGGATCGCGCCATTGTACCAGGGTGTAATTAATCAGGAGCAATCCTTGCAGGAGATGGGCGTGAAAATTCGTCCCGACCGATAGCGAATCGATATCTCAGAGATTCTCTTCGTTAACGATCGCCTGTCCTCGTTATTCCTACATGTTTTCATCCAGGTGAAATCTCTCCGACGCACCTATCGACGACGGATCGATCGCGGAAACGACCCGCTATTTGTTTCACTCGAGCACCGGTAAACACCTATGCGCTCGTCAAACGGAACGTCAAACAGTAATACGACGAAGTTATTAAAGCAACGTGCATTCGTTCGGGTCGCTACTCAACGCGTTAATGCAAAATCAATGGAACGACGAACAACAATCCGACGCGTTGTACAATAGATTTTCGCGAGCACAGCCACGTCGAGTGGCAAATGTGGCCGGAAAAAAGCAGGATTTTTCGACCGAGGGAAATGCGGCTTGCCCTCAAAAAATGCATTCGGATCGCGGTGCATCGGAGCGCGTCTCGATCGGGGAGCACTCGTCGTGCGCGTGCAAAATCGGAGTTTGCGTATCGGACCGATGGTTCGCCGTCTCCGCACAAAGGATCGTCTAAAGACAATCCTTTTGTAATCCGAGTCAGAAAATCCGGGGCGGAATCGAGTTTACGGGTCGCTCCGGAAGAGGGATCGGGTCCCTAGGGCGGCGGGGGAGGAGGCACCAAATTGGTGCGCCCCGGTGATCGCATCGATAGATCGTAAAACGCTCCTCCGTTTCTCCGGGCTCTCTCTTTGGCCAAATCGAATCGAGCGATTTCTCCGCACCCCCGCGAGTTCGCCTCCTCCCCTCGTCGAACCTCGACGTCTGATCCCGCCCGAAACGGATAACGCGGTCCGACGTATCGAGACTCTTTGCACTGCGCGCCATGTAAACCACCCTTTAACTTCACCCCCGGGATATATCCTCGTTATACCGGAAACGATTCCCTGCTCCGTAAACATCGAGGGTTGGGTCAAAGACGCCGACTTCGCTCAAGCTTCGAGTGAGCGTTTCCACCAAGAGCAAAATTGGTCTTCGTAACGCAAAAAGCGGGAGATCGACAATAAAATCAAGATCTCGATATTATTGCAAGCCCAAGTAGCGCAAAACCAAGATTTGGCCGCGCAAGATCAAGGCAATGGTAATCTTGGTTTTGCATTTGTTCGTCACTAGGGATGTATTGAATGAATATGTCAGGTATGAACATCAAAGATCGATCCTCCCTATGTATGTATATCTGATATTTAGCATTCGTTGAACGATTCGGTCAGGCGAATCGTGGACTATGTTTCATTTGATATTTCTGACGATGGCCTGCGACGAGATCCGCCGCGGAAATGGAGTTC